TTGTAATGACTATTCAACAAAGCCAAATAAAACAAGCAAATATGGCAGTTACTCAAAGAAACAAGAGAAGATGCTGTGTACTAGTGCTGAATGCTAGGAACCTATGGGCCGAAATGAGAGAACTGGAATGCCTGATCTTAGATGATAGGATCAATGGTGGGCATAACAGAAACCTGATGGATTTGAGAAAATCAGTGGGCATGGTTCTTTCTGGTTATAAACCTTATAGGACAGACAGGAAAGGATGTAGTGGGAGGTCTTGTCTTCTAGGTAAGAGACCAGTGAATCAAGTTATCAGGTAGTCACATATAGAAAACATACTAGGCTTTATTGATAAATGGAATCTACCCTTTTATTTCAAGGCCCTTAAGTTTATGAGGGACTTTATCAAAAGTTTTTTCTTCCTTTTCAGAATCTAAGTAGACAGGTCTACTAGCTTGCCTTTATCTATATGTTTAATTAACACCCCAAAAAACTAATACATTAGTTAGACAGAATTTAGTTAAGCCAAGTTGGGTAAACGTGAACAAGGCCTATATCTCTAAATGTTTAGTAATTTTATCTTTAACAGCAGTTTCCACCATCTTCACCAGAACAGATATTAAGCTGACTGGCTTCCCCATGAGTCTTTTCTTTAAAATTGTAGTTACATTAGCCACCTTCCAGTTCTCAGCTATAGAAGCAGAGTATAGAGCAGAGGGGTCAAACTTGCAGTATCACAGCGACATCATATGATGTATTGAGACTTTCCCCCCCTTTGCTAAACCGGGCATGGGTGTGGGCAGCACATGATGCATCCAGTCCGCGGGCCACAAGTTTGACTGCCCTGGTGTAGAGAATTGAAGATCCACAACCTTAGCTTTAAGTTCGTTAATAACACTTGGGGGATGCTATCAGGGCCTGAAGTTTTATATTCTCATGCAGATAACTAGTAAGCAATAGGAAACTAGGAGTAGGAGTAAATGAACATTTCTCATAATGATGGGATGTAACTCCCCTGGGGTTGTGTCCTAATTCCAGTGGTTTTTAATGTATTTATGAATGATCTGGAATTTTGTATGATTAGTAGAATAGCCAAAACTGATGACATAGATTGCTCAGACTGGTAAAAACAGTAAGGGATTCTGAAGAGTTCCAAATGGATTATTTTCACATTAGGAGAACGAACATCAAAATAGAAGATGCCATTCAACATGAACAAATTGTAATGATGCACTTGGCACCAAAAATCCTAATTACTGATACAAACTAATGGGATCAAACCTAACAGTGACTGATGAACAAAGATATCTTAGATTAATGGTAAACTGTTCAATAGCACATAATTCAACCTTAGAATTTACTACAAGATGTATCAGGTTGTTTGGATTAAAAGTTTTTTTAGATCAATTCATGAAAATCAAGAACTGTAATTTGACTGCCTCAAAAGGCCATCTTTTGGGAGATTAGAGGGCCTCCTTGTGTAGTTGATTGGCCAAGTAAAACAGATTGCAGATTAGATGGGATAGAGACCAGATCCAGCAGGACACTGCTTATGGTCTTATGTGGAGCTGGTACAACACTGAAAACATTAGTATTCAGGGAAATGTAGCTTATTTATTTTTACACTCCTATGGCAGAACATATGGTTTATAAGAATTATATAATTCAGCTTTGCTTGCTACAATATGTTGAAATTTTTAAAAAAACCTACAGAACAACTCAATCCCTTCAATGGTACTCTGCAACTTCATAGCACATCTAATAATCCAGAAGTTTGATTCAGATAAATACAGACATATTGAATGTGCTTATTCAGAAGTGTTAGTGTTCAGTGGAACTTATTCAAGATAAGTATGCATAAGATTAATTTCAAATGTATCCAAGAAGAAAACTGCAATAAAATTTGCCTGACAAGCTTGTTCTCCTACCTCCATTTGCTCAAGACTAATTCTCACTTAACTCAATAACAATTCCTTATTTAATGGATTATATGACATATACTACATTGCCCTTTCCTGAAAGTAATTAAAAAAGAAGCAATGTATGTTGTAAGTCTATAAGTTCTTCCTTTCTTATAAATGCATTTTCTACATAATATTGTACACATTGCTCTCAAGTTTCTCTGAATCAGATTTCAAATTGGTGTAATAGGAGTTTCTAAGAGTCTTTGTCATGTCCTGCTAATTCACAAATAATTTGCATGCTGAAAACCAGATCTTTTTAGATACTCTTCTTTTGAGTCAGGCACATGTATTCAGATCAGTAATTTACAGCTTGAACTATATAACCGGAATGTTAAGAACATACAAGGAAGTAGAAATCAATACCAACCCAGTGAAATGATTGACACAAGCAGCACGTCTGAAGGAAAATCAAAATAACATCCTAATACAACTGCAGTGTTGCTATTTTAGGGTCATGTGATGAAATTCATTGACCATACAGATTCCAAGGGCTATTGTTATAATTAGGATAATTCCAGGTAGAGATTTATTGATCTAGTCTGTAATTTCAATACATACCATGTCTCCCCATAAATAAGACAGGGTCTTATTTTCTTTTGACCCCCGAATTAAGAGCTTGGCCTTATTTTTGGAGAGGTCTTATTATTTTTGAGGTGCAGGAGCTGGCGAGCATGGTCACCTCATGGCTGCTGCTGTGTTGCAATATTTTCGAGGAGGGCTTATTTAGGGGGAGGACTTATTTTAACACATGCCCTCAAAAGCCCAATTGGGCTTATTATCCGGGGAGGTCTTATTTTCAGGGAAACAGGGTAACATACTGTTTTTTTCTAGTGAATGTTTTTCAGCATATCTTTTGTCCTTAGACATTTCTCCCCCTACCTTTTAAAAAAATATTTCTGACTCAAAAAAACATTGGAAAGAAATAATGGAAAGGGGCTCTGCCATTTACCAGCATGGTAATTCTCCAAACATTCAACAGGCAGAGCCAAATGTGATATTGCACAAGAAGCCAGCAAAGGAAAGATCAAGTATGAAAAGTGGCTATATCTCTTCAAAGACTGTGGAGGAAAAAAGTCCACCCAAACCTCCTTCACCCATGTCTATGGGAAAGCAGGTGGGCTTTCAATCACAACTCAGAGCTGACAGTATGTAGTCCACCCTCTACTTGCTTTACATACAGTCGAAAGAGTTCTATTTTTTACATATCAGGACATAGCAAAAATCATTTGGTCCTTAGCAGTTCTTAAAACTAGATAAATACAACCTCAGATGAACAACAACACATGACATATTATACCATGTCATCATTTATTTTACAAAAAAAAGGCTGTTTTTCCCCTTTGTGTAAAGACAGATGCAAAAAATGAGTTAAGTAGTTCTGCTTGTCACCTTCTTGCCACTTTCTCCCAGCAATGGATCAATTGTTTCCTTGACTTTTTTCTTTTTAACATGTTGAAAGAAGCTTTTTTATTTTTTACTTTTGTCACAAGCCTTTGTTCATTGCGTGCCTTAGCTTTCCTCACTTCATCTTTACAGACTCGGGCTATTTGCTGGTTTTCTGCCTTAGTTATTTGCTCCTCTTTCCACTTTTTATATTTGTCCTTTTTGTCTTTCAATCTGTCAGAGAGTTCTTTATGCAGCCATGCTGGTTTGTTTTGAAAGCTGTTTTTTTTTTTCTTCATTGGTATTGTGCTAGACTGGGCTTTTATAATCTTACTTTTCAAAAATTCCCAAGCTTCTTAAGTTGTATTCCCCTTGAGAATTCTCATCCATGGAATCCTTCCCAAGCTCTCTCTAAGTTTATTGAAATTAGCTCTCTTAAAGTCCAAGACTCTAATTTGACTTTGTTTTTCTACTTGTGCTTGCATAATGTTGAATTACAATATTGCATGATTTAGTTTAGTTTAGTTTAG